CCAAAAGAAGATTAGCTGTTGTTTTTTTTTTTTTTTTGTCACCAGTATTCATGAGTAACAGAGTTTGAAAAGTCCTCTCTAATTCCTAATAATAATTTTGCCTAAAAACATTTGAAGTAGTATTGGCCATTATTCACTAGTATTAAAAACATAGCATATAAAATGCCACCTGTTTTGACTCCTAGGGAGTTTCTGTAGTAGAAACTATAAAGGCAGACTGAAAAAGATATAATCTCTCTGTTGGGTAAGGACACACACTTAACTCCAATGCAAAAAATATAGTAACATTTCTTCCATAATGTAGCTGAGATTTCATTCAATATTTCTGTTAAATAAAGTGTAAGACATTATGAGGGCTGCATCAAAAGGAGAGTGACCAGCAGGTCGAAGGAGGTCATCCTGCCCTCCTGCTCTCGTGAGACCTCCCTTGGAGTATTGTGTGCAATTCTGGTGTCCTCAACATAAAAAGGACATGGAACTGTTGGAACAAGTCCAGAGGAGGGCCACGAGGATGATCAGGGGACTGGAGCACCTCCCATATGAAGATAGGCTGAGAAAGTTGGGGTTGTTCAGCCTGCAGAAGAGAAGGCTGCGTGGAGACATCATAGCAGCCTTCCAGTATCTGAAGGGGGCCTACAGGGATGCTGGGGAGGGGCTATTCATCAGAGACTGTAGTGATAGGACAAGGGGTAATGGGCTCAAACTTAAACAAGGGAAGTTTAGATTGGATATAAGGAGGAAATTCTTTACTGTAAGGGTGGTGAGGCACTGGAATGGGCTGCCCAGGGAAGTTGTGAATGCTCCATCCCTGGCGGTGTTCAAGGCCAGGCTGGACAGAGCCTTGGGTGACATGGTTTAGTGTGAGGTGTCCCTGCCCATGGCAGGGGGGTTGGAACTGGATGATCTTAAGGTCTTTTTCAACCCTAACTATTCTATGGTTCTATGATTCTATGAGGTTGTCAGGGTTCAATGCCTCTTGCTCACCTCCCCCTTCTGAACCCCCATAGGATAGGGGAGGGAAGTGGGGGAAAAAAAGGTAAAATAATGGGTTGAGATAAAGACAGTTTAACAGGACAGAAAAGGAAGGAAAAAAATAAATAGTAATAATAATGATAAAATAGTTAGAAATACAAAGCAAGTGATGCACAATGCAATTGCTCACCACCTGCCAATCAACATCCAGCCAGATCTGAGCAGCAGCCCCAGACAGCTTTCCCCTCAGTTTACATACTGAGCATGACACCATACAGTATGGAATATCGTTTTGGTCAGCCATCCTGTCAGTTGGGGTCAGCTGAGTCTCCTCCCAGCTTCTTGTGCTTCTTCTTCCCCCAGCCTACTCACTGGTGGAGTGGTGTGAGAAGCCAAAAAGTCCTTGATTTAGTGTAAACACTTCTTATCAACAACTAAAAATGTGGTACCAATGCTATTGTCATCCTAAATCCAAAATACAGCACTTTACCAGCTACTAGGAAGAAAATTAACTCTATCCCTGACAAAACCAGGACAGAGGTGCAAGTATGGTGTATGGTACAAACCGTCCAAGCTACCAAGGATGCGAGTTCAGTGTGTAAGGGTCTTCAACAGCTCAGGTCCAAATGCAGCATGGTGCTACACATGAACTTCTGGTACCAGTATTCTAGACACTAGGTAACTGATTAAAGCCACATTAACTTCATGAAGATACTTGTCAATGCCTACTTTAGCATTAGAATTACACAGTGCTTTAAGCTTTAGCTATTTATTAAACGTTTACACATTTTTTGAGATGATTTATTGCTATAGTTCACAAAATTTAATTACATCCTTAAGATAAAAAGGGCAATACTAATGCATGCCTTATGAACTAATAAAATTTTATGGTTATTTTTCAAGGTTAAATGTCATGTGATTTCATTTTTAACAGAAGGGCAGTCTAAAAAGTTAAAATTACAGGCAGTCTAAAAGTTAAACTTACTAGTAGAAATGTCTAGTTTAAAGAAGCAAAAAGATTGGAAAGATTAATAAATTCATTTATGAAATTAATTTTATGAGATAGATTTATAAAATTTTAAATCCAAATGTACATTTAACTTAGCAGAAAAATTTGTATCAGAGTGCAGTATTTCAGAATATTCCTATCATGTTGTAACTGTTAGTTTAAAAGCAAAGAAACTGAGACAGAGATGCTAACGCATTCTGCCAACCTTGTCCCATCAATCTATCACAGAAACAACAAACGGCTTAACTTGAACTCAGACACGTTTGCAGTCTTTTTTACTCTTAAATCAGTCCTATTTAGAAGCAACTGTTTTAATGGTGAGATAAAACAATAGTGTAACTGTTCTTCCTACATAATCCTAATTTCTTGCAAACATAGTATTCATACAACACAATTTCAGAAATGGAAGTAACAAACTTTATTTCCTTTCTATTCAGTTTTGCTCCTTTATATCTAACAACCCTTAACCACTTGGTACGTGCACTTACCTTCTACTGTTCCCTACTGGTTCAAGAATAAGTTTCAGGACATTAAAAGTATTATGGAGAACTACAGAGCAGTCTGTTTTTTCCCTGAGTAGATCAGAGAATGATGATTGGCAAGGTGACTACTTCCAACCTGTTAGGAGTTTACTGGTAGGGCAGATAATAATTACAACATGCAGCTCTACAGCTTGAAATGCCAGTCAGAATGACCTTTCCTCTCTGTACAGGAAAGGAGAATTTTCAATCACTGAGCGCAGTCAGTCTCACTTCTACTGCCCAGAGATAGTAATGCCCCAGACAGTGAGGACTGTTGATCAGTGTCCTATCACCTAGGGAAAGGAGACTGACAGATGCAATTTTATGTTCAAAGTGCTACCTTGTGCTTTGAAATAAACTCTAGTCATGATACAGTACAGCAATTTGAAACAGTATTACCAAAGTCAGCATGTCTCAGTGATATAAAACAGTGAAATTCTGGGGAAAAGGCATACAAATCAGATATTTGTTTTAATTGAATGATCTCTGTAATTATACATAACTTATTCAAGCAATAAATTTGTACGAACAGAAGTGGCAGGCTGACATTCACATACAATTATGCGTAGTGTTAAGTACTTTGTGAGTGACATGGTTAATTTCATTTGGGCCATTTGTAGCATAAGATAGCAGCCAACATAATTACAGATACGGCTTACAAGCCAGGCCAGTTAGATAACTACTGCATTTATAGCTTAAAATAAAATCACATTTTGGAATCTGCTTATCTATACAGCAAAATGTTCTTTCCAATAAAATGGTATATGGAAAACTAAGAAGAATTGCAATACATTTGTACTGTCAACTTACCTTGTTAGATCTTATAAATGTTATAGGTGCTCTCATGAATGCCCTACAGCTTCCTTGGCTATTCTCTGGAACTCTGATATGTGTCATATTTAACCATACACAAAACATATTTCCAGATTATGGTCTGAAAATTTCCTTTTCAAGACCTGTTCTTCATACTGATCATAACGAACTTATTAAGCCTATGAAAAATGTTCAGCAGGCAGCACAGTTCCAAAGCCTGTTGTGTTTTCTTGTGTGTAGTTTTCTTTTTTGTTTATTTAATACTAACTATAATGGAAAGCTTTGTAGTTGAGCCCCATTACTATAGAGGCAGATAATGAACTCCCTCAGCCAACTAATAGAGTAAGGGTATGGCAGTCATCCCATTGTAGTAAGTGTGCTTATGGCGATTAATCAAGTGGAAGTCTGAAAAACAAGGATAATTTGGCATTTTTTTTTTTCGTTACTGAACGGCAACCTGCAATATTTTCCTACACAATGTGTCAACTTTTTAGATTATCAGAGCCAAAAAAACACCAACAAAGCAAACCTTCAGCTATACAAGTAGTCATGCTGAAGTTCATGTCAGATTTTGGTCCATTCTGGGCAACTACGCAATAAAGATGCTATCTTATTTTGTGCCACCTTCTAGGTCTGTTCATAATGCAAGTTCCCTCAAATCTTCTTTAGCCCAAAATTTATGGAGAGATGGGAAATATGATCCACTCCACCTCACCTTTCTAACTCTGAAGGTGTATCTTGATATCTAGCCCTTATACACTATGCCTGATATAGCTCTGGCACTCTTCCAGTACTAGTTTAGCTGTAAAATCAAGAAGGTACTTCCCCTTACACAGACTAGATTGGTAACACACTGTTAGTTAACAATCATCTGTCATGCTTGTATATTTTCCAAATCATGATTCATAATCAACATAGCACAGGTAAAAAAGTCAATTGCCCATTCCAAGTAGTCTGCACTGCCAAGACCTGCCATTTGTCAGACTCTCAGTCCAATTACTTATAGCAAAATGATTATATTCTGAAATTCCTGTACCAGGTGGTGGCTAATGAAGAGTTCAAATAAGGAAAATTGAAGAGAGCATATAACTTTGGAGAATATAAACAGCATCCATACAGATAATACCATTTGTCTGACTCAGCGTAATTATATTGGTTTTTAAGTACTGTAACTCATTGCTGTTCAAACCTGTATAACAACAAACAGTCTGCCAATCTGTTATTTAATATTTCTAGCAATTCTCATTCACTGTGTCATTTTCAAAAACAGAGCAGATGTTCTTTTATATAACATGAAAATAGAGTACTTTAAATTTTGAATTAGTTGTGTAATATTGTTGCTAAGCACTTCATTAAAAACAGAAATGGGCTGGTAAATAGATTACTGAAAAAGGCTGGGCTTAAAGAAAGCCGATTTCTAATTTGGTTTTTTGCAACCTTGTATTTATCTGGGAAATTATTTAACTCTCTCCTTTGTTTTCCTTTCGATAGCATTTTGCTATTAATCCTTATTCTGATATTAAGCTCTTATGGAAGCTAATGGAAGACTATAATCACGCTGTGATAAGTAAACAGAGTGCTGTATTCTTAAGTACATAAACCTACACTTTCTATACATAATTGTATACCTTCCATAATATTACACTTACACCAAAGATTATGTAAAAAATTATGTGGTGATTTACCTGGTCTTGAGGAAGGAACTCTTGCTATTTCTAGGGAGCAAGGTTTTTTGGTCACTGCTATGTCTATTGAATCACAGAGATTGCTGTCATTTTCAGAGAGAACTGCATCCAGAGGCACAGAAGGTATTGCTTCTAATGCATAACCTCTCTTCTTTGAATAAGATTCCTGAAATGCAAAAATTTAAGTAGGTAAGAGAGATATTTCTCAGACAACACAAGAAAAGAACCAGGCTAGATAACTCTGACTAGCAGGGTTTAAAATCCAACAAATTAAACACAACATTTTGCTGAAATATAAATTGTAACAGACTAGAAGAATTAATTGCATGCTAGAAGATAACATTTCTTGTTTCTTTAAATTTTTGTGTAATATAATTCTTGTTTAGTTATAGAAATGTCTATATTCTTCAAACTTTGTATTTAGCAAAAACTCCAACATAACTGATCTTGCCATACCTGCTTTGCTGTGTTCTAATTTGGGGATTTTTCTTAATCAGAATTTGAATTATATCTCATGAAAGTGATAATTACATTAACCACTGCCATTACTTTGTCATATTACACATAAAAAAGCTAAAGTTATGCTATCTGCATTTTGATGGCAGAATCCCAGGTTGTGAATGAAGATGAAATACTGCTCTATATTTGAACTGAACAGCAATAATGGCACAAGGTCCCTTCGCAGTGATACATACAGTGAATTCCCATCATTAGCAAATGTTAAGGGAAGGAAAAACAGAATTGGATGGAAGATTTTCTGGTACACTAAACTGCCCAATCAAGCAGACTCTCTCTACTTTAGAACACAAATAAGAAGATACCATACAGTTTCACGAGAGTTTCTTGATGTGTGATCTATATTTTTTCAATCCCAGCAGAAAGCAGTTGAATAGGCAGAGACATATTTCTACATCTTTCTTACATTGGACATATGGATGCCTGGGAAAGTCAAACACTGCACTCAAATCAAATATGATATAATAAAAGGCAAAGGACCAGAAAGCACCCTGACATTTAGATATTATCATGGTCCTACTCAGAAAATGACTTAAGAACGTGATGACTAAAACAGGATGTGGAATAACAATTTCTTCAACAAGAATTGATATTACCTAAGGAAAAAGATGGCTGTAGGTAACAGTTCATTTTTTAGGTAAATTATTTATACTATTAGCAAATTATTACACTACCAGACCTTTGCAGTTTTTCCTGCTCATTGTATTGTGACCTGATTTTTATGACAGTTCATAATCTGGTGATAACACAAGGCCATTTGAAGGATAGGTTTGAGATGGCAGCAACAGGATATCCCCTTCAAAATTCTTCTTGATGAGTTCAGTAGAAAAATAATTTTAATCCTAGGCTAAACCACCACTGAATAAAGTACTTGCAAATGAATACAAGAAACAGTGAACAGGGAAAAACCAATACAAAATAAAAAGAATACAAACAAGCATTTGTAATGAAAAATGAGGATGTGCAAGCAAACAATACAAGGTCAGTAGTCAGTGTTCAAAACATATGCCTAAAAGAGGAATGCGATTGTGTGCCTACCTCTTTTACCCTTTTCTGGTTAATCTCTAGTCAAGGTATGAGGTCTCTGCATTAGCAATTTTGCTGCTACGTACTAGCAGTAACTAGTTTCAGCTAACGGACTCTAAAAACTTTACCAGGAATTGGAAAAGTTTCTAAGTGGGCTTGCTGCAGCTCCAAATACAACTTTTTAAACTTAAGCCATCTCATTCTTCAAATAAAGTTAATAAAAAAATTATTCCTGAAGCTCATATTCCATTAAAAAAAAAGCCCCAAGCTAAACAACAAAAACAAACAAACAAACCCAAAAAAGCCCACAAAACCAAAAACCATTTATTTTTTAAATCATGCAAATAGCATCTGAAGTCTTTTGACCATTCCTGTCAGCCCTCACCCTCAGCCTTCAGTGATCTGACAGGGATCTGATTTTCATGTAGCGTTCAAGGTGAGGGCTCATCAAGTATACATACTGACATAATGATGTTCCCGCTTTTGCACTCCTTTCCTAATTGCTCTTAACATTCAGTTTGATTTTCTGAATGTTATTAAACATTACAAGCAGATACCCCATCCCTGAAAGTGTTGAAGGCCAGGCTGGATGGGGCTTTCAGCAACCTGGTCTAGTGGGAGGTATCCCTGCCCATGTAGGGGGCATGGAATTAGGTGATCTTAAGGTCTGTTCCCATCCAAAGCATTCTGTGATTCTATGATTCTTAAATTAACATTATAAGAATCTAAATGTCAGGGAAGAAAAAATAAAAATGATGGGGTTACTGAGAAAATGGTTAGAATGTAAATTACTGACTGGTAAATTCTTCATCAATCTCTCACTAATAAAGCAAATATGAAAACAGTATGCCAAGCAGAACTTAAGTTAGAGACAAGAAGAATTGTTAATACATTAAAAAGTCTGGAATTCTACCAGTGAAGACAATAAGGCTTAATTAAAAGTGTATATGTAGCAAAAAGACAAACTTCTCATTGCTGGAGAAAAGCAATGTAAAGTATTCAGGTTGCTGCAGTATGTTCTCCATTTTGCAAGAACTGAGCATACTGTAGAATACTTTAAGCTCTAGAATAATTCAAGTTAGATGTTAGTAGGTAACTTAAAACTGTCTTAGAATATGTGGCATTAAGCAATGTGATTCTGTTTTTTTCTCAGATTAAAAGGTCTTCAGCACTCTTCTCAATAACAATTCTGTTGTTTCACCTCACCCACTTCAATAAAAAGTAATTCTACAGTAATCCTACATGTCCTAGATATTTTCATCTGCATAATAAAACATTCTAAAGAAATACTATTCCATTATAGTTGAATAACCTTTGGCCCTGAAATGAAAATGTGTTTTTTTTTTATTAGAGATTATTCAATTTCTGTAAATTATGTCCAAAAACTTGAAGATGACACATGTAACTGACCATGACTGTCAAGTCAGAGTTTGTTCTTATTTAAAATTGAACTTCATAAAAGTAATGTGCTGGGCTGCCAGGACATTAAAACAAGTATTTAAGCATTTTTGTGGAAAGGATAAAAATGCATACACAATAGAAGTGACAGAAAAAGACCAAGAGTGGGTGCGTCACTGGGAAAGCATTAGAGAACAGCTGTCCATACTGATAAAATATAAATTAGATTTTTGCCTTGTAGAAAGAAACAGCAATGTGAAATTGAATTTGCAGAGCACATGCCAGGGACACATTATGGCCCTTACTCAGAAATCTCCAGCCAGCTGGGTCCTCTGAGAATATGCTTGATGGTATAATACTTATGTGTAATCTGAGAATTAAACAGGACTAGACAAGAGAAAGGAGGGGAGGAGAAGATTGTGACTGTTGGTCAGTGGGAATGAATTTGCTTTAATATACCTATATGTCAATTGTAAATGGTTATATAAAAGTGTGGAACAATATTCCATAACATCAGTAAATCTTCAAAAACTACATGATGTTGAGTTAGGCCTTTTTTCCATGTTTCTGCTAAGCTTCCAGTTAAGCTTGCTTTTGCCTTCTTGCATTTCTTGTAAGGATCAGTCTGAATGAGGTATGGTCAAAGACTAAGATATAAGCAATATATACAAATCTGTATTTGTATGACCAAAGAATAAAATGATAGAACCTCAGTGGGCATCTAATCAGAACTGACATTCTGACAAGATAGAAACTGTATTTCACTGAAAAATTTTCATACTGTCCAGCTCCCTTCCTACAGAAATCTGATCAGCTGAAGTTTCGTTACTTCCCTGGAACATGGGACAACACATCAGAGTCAAGCATAACGTACTGTTACACCACATTCCTCACAGTGAAAATTCATGTAGTTATGTCATGTCCCACCGGGCAATTATTAATTTATATAACTTATAAATTCTAAATTTATGAACAGTTGACCTCCTGTAGTCTAGGATACTCACAGTTAAAAGCCATACTGTATCCTGTTATTTGAAAATTTACTAGATCTGGTTTTGATTGAGTCTCTTTTGATAAATGACTTCTTCATAATTAACACTAACTATCCTTACAATTTGTGTAAGATACCTAATAAGGATCACAAAGTTTAGAAGAAATAGTTATTTTAGCCTTAAGACATTTTTTTTAGAAACTATGGGGAACAAGAATGCCACTATGCATATTTATACTTTAAGACAGAAGTTAAGGACACTTGCTTAGAAAAAGAATTATTAGTGGGTATTTCAGTGGTCTTATATATCCAGATAATTCAGACTTTTAAAGAAAACTTTATGGCTATAATTACCTATTATGTGAAAACATGTATGAACAAGAAGTGGAAGTAAAATACCCAGGGGTTTTCTTCCGAATAATAAACTTTAAAGGAGAAACAGTCTCATAAATGTGGAAAGGAAGAATGCAATGTATTTGCCATCATTAGAAAATATCTTTTTCATTTATACAGAATACAGATTGAAGAACTGCTATTAAATTCTGGCATATCCCTTAAGATCCATCAGGGTATCATATATTCTCCCCTGACTTGCTGCATGCCAGAAGACCAGCATGAACTCAAGTAGCTCTTCTTTATTTATGGTGTGATAAATTCTGCTTAATTTTTCTTTAGAAGAGTATTATGATACTTCTGTTAATAAAACTTTGGGGAGTTATTGATCCCAAACACTCCATAAACCCATTTATCCCATTTACATCATAGAATTACAGAATTAAAAAAATAGTTTGTGTTGGAAGGCATCTTTAAAGATCATACAGCCCAAACCCCCTGTAACAAGGGGAGACATCTTCAACTAGATGAGGCTGCTCAGAGCCCTGTCTAACCTGACCTCAAATGTTTCCAAGTAAGGGGCATCTACCAACTCTTTGAGCAACATGTTCCAGTTTTTCACTACCCTCATTGTAAAAATTTTTTTCCTTCTATCTAGTCTGAATGTGTTTGCATCAAACATACTTCATGTTTGCAAACAGACTGATGTATAACACTGTAGGATTGGGACACTTTACACTGAAATATTAATGATAAATAACCAAAGGTTGCTGAGAGGAATCAAGAATTCAAGCAAGAAAGGAGTCCTGACCAGTGACCAAAGATAATTAGAACAGATTTTTGACATGCAGCAAGGTGGAGGGAAGAGTGCCTGAACCTGATGGGTACTGTGTGAATTTGTC